CATCGTAAGTCCAAGCAGTTGCCCTAGCAAGCGTCGTGGTCGTCGTTGTCCAAGACTTCCGCAGTAAGTGTAGACTAAAACCCTAAAACCTAAACCCTCGACTGTTTGCTCACAGTTCTGGAAAGTTCCCAACTCGATTCTTGCAGAAGCGCTTTTGCTTGGGTGGCAAAGCCGCTGTGAAACAAGTACAGAACCCTAAACCCTGAACCCTAAACCCGAAACCCTAAACCCCAAACCCTGAACCCTAAACCCTAAACCCTAAGCCCCATACCCGGCCCCGAATCTGAAGCGTTGGTTGGAGTCTGAAGGTCAGATACGGTTCAGAGATGATTGCAGGGTAGGTTTTAGGGTTGATTGACTTGGCATTTAGGGTTAGGGTTTGGGGGTGCTGTGCTTGAGTTTGATAACCCCGGTATAACCGAAATAGAGTGTTTGGTGCCTTCGGTTTTTGGATTGATGTCATGGTTAACGCTTGTGGAACGAAGTAGGTTGCAGCTTTTTGGGGATTTCAATGGAGTTCAGCTTTTTGGGCTTTGGTAGCTTTTTCCCGGCAAGACTTGAGAAGCCAGATGAGCTGAAGAGCTAGGCAGATTGCAGAGTTTTGGCCCTGGTAAAGAACCAACCAAAACATATCAAGACGAATGGATTTACAGCAAGGTCGCGCCACAGCCCCGCAACCGAAATCCTATGAGCCCTAAACCCGATGCCCTAAACCCTACACCCTAACCTCAAATCGCAACGGGAGGCTGAATCTTCGATTCTCAAACTCCCAACCGCAAGCCCTTTGCAGGTCTGTTGGCCGGACAAGCAGCCAGGAGGTGTGGATCTGAGTGTGCTGAAGACCCAAATCCGCTTCTTGGCTTGCCAGTCTGATGTTGTACCCCAGGATTAAAAATGTTTAGGGTTTAGGGTATCCGTTGATTTCTTGAAATATACCTCAAACCGTATTAGGGATCCGACTGTAGTTTAGCTTTCCTTATTGGATGGTCTGCGTACCTAACCATCATATTCACCCCAGAAAAATATGAACCAACGAAGCCACCATCCTAAACCCAAGTACCGCTATTGCTAGGTACTTTGGACCCTTATAGGGGTAGGGCATAAGACTGGTGTTTACACTGCAGCCTTCGCAATCCCGATCCCTCTTGCTAGGATTTCTTCGTGTTGAGGATTCCCCTAAACCCTAAGCCCTAAGCCCTAAACCCTAAACCCTAAACCGACTTGAGGATCTGAGGGGGGGGCTCCGGCATTCTGCAGTTCTGGGGCTCCGCGCTTGCCTGTTCTGCTTCCTGTCTAGGCAATGCCCAAAGGCTCCATGTACCTTTATACTGTTGATGGACAAAATCCTGCATGACCCAAATATGGTATAGTACCATAAATCCCATAGTTTATGTATATAAGGTCATGCAGGTTTTTGTCCATCAACCGTAGTAGATCCTTAGGCCTTAAAGGGGTCCCTGTATAGGTACTTTAAGGCCTAAGTATCTACTATAAAGGTACATGGAGCCTTTGGGATGATAGCGAGCATGCGTTTCAAACAAACGCTGGAACTAATGTAGGGGCCTAAATCATTACCAATACTATTTCGAGGGTTCCTCACTATTATCATTATAGTATAATGTACCCTTAACACCCTATCCTAATTATTAAGGCTCCTAGATTACTCATTTTTGGGGTTCAGGGTATAGGGTGGTTTTGAGCGTCGTGGCTCTGTGGTTCCGAAGTTCAGCCCTCTGCACTTGAGGCCGAGGGTTCACGTATAATTCGAAGAGGTTTCATGATTTTGGGTTATGGTTTCCGGGTGAACTGGCTTTACAGCTCGAAACAGCAAATCTCGAAAACCAAAAGCTTACAGCCTAAAGCCGTTGCCTGAGGCTCCGGCGGCATGTTGCTCTTCAGTCGCACTCTGCGCCTCACAAAGCGATTCGGCAACAGCACCGACTTCGTGAACGGAAACATCTTCGGCACCCACGAGACCCTGGGTCTGTGTTAAATGAAGCTCTTGGTAGCTGAGTGAGTGCACTTGACTGTTGGGGGATAACATCATCCCATGTATCCCCTGTAGCACTGAAAGTCTACTTCTAAGGCTTATGAACTCAGCAACTAAGAGCTGTCAGGCTTGCGAAGCTTATATAGGGGCCTAAATAATTTTCTATACTAACTTGGGTGGGTTTTCTACACTGGGGCCCAAAACCCTATTCTGATTATTAAGGCCCCTATCTTTTAGATTGTCGGGGCGGGGCTTGAAGGATGCCCGAACGCACTGTCAATCATATGGATAGAAGTGATATCCCCCATGCAAACCGTGAAGCCGTGGGTGCGAAAGCCCTGAAGGGTTTACTAGGATATATTAGGGTTACAGCTTCAGCGGTTCAGGGTTTACGGTCTAGGGTATATCCGGGTTACAGTTTCAGGGGTTCGAAGTACGCATGGCCCTCCACCTCCCAACTACGCCGCAGGACCTACCGTGGGCAATTCGGCGTGGCGCGCAACGCTGCAGAGAACGGTAGAGGCCTCTGCAGGGCCTAAACCCAAAAGGTCCTATGTACCTAGAGAAGAATGCAATTATTGGGAATTCCCATTATGATCTGGGGAAGTGCCCCCCTCATAGCAGTACATAGGACTGATTCTGACTCCCAAACAAACGGGAAATCAATTGAGAGTCGGTAAACCCGACACCCCAAACCCTCAACCTTGTGGCTTCCCCCCTCAATGCAGCACTGAATCCGAAGATAATTGTTGTCCTTGAGGTGCAGAAGAGGCTTTATGCTTCCCTAAACCCTAAACCCTAAAACCCTAATCCCTAAACCGTTGTATGTTAGGTTGATGTGGTAACCTACGATAGATACACGCAGAAAGTCGTTGCGACCCTGACGACGTTTCGATGGGGGGTTCGTATGCCCACACCAAAGGCCTCTTTGAAACCCCATACTCTACGCCTTATCTCCACGCTCAACACCTCAAAACGCGCTACACTGTACCCATAGGCCCCATAGTAGTTCCTTTTTGGGGATTACCTTTACCTGTAGTCTCCATTGTAGTTCCTTTGGTAGGATTCTAAATCTGATCCCCCAAAAAGAAACTACTAACCCTAAACCCTAAACCCTAAACCCCTAAACCCCTAAACCCAAAAAAGAACTACTATGGGGCCCATGGGTAAAGGACTCGAGCCGATTTCCCGAACCTCCGCGTCGCTTGCCCAGCACGGGCCGAAGGAGCCAGAGGAGCTTTTGGGATTCAGGGAATTAGGGTTTTAGGGTTTAGGGTTTAGGGTTTAGGGTTTTAGGGTTTTAGGGTTTAGGGTTTAGGGTTTTAGGGCTTAGAGTTTGGGGTTGGGGGTTTAGGGTTTAGGGCTTTGGGTTTAGGGTTTAGCAGGCGTCAAAAGCCGCATGCGGGCGACAGGGGTTGTTTGGATCGAACGGCACACCTTGAAGCCATGTAGGGAGTATTGTCGACTCCTGCATTGCAGTCTGCGTGGCTTTCGGAGCTTTCTTTCGTGTCAGGACATAACTCAGGATCAGGCTTGGTCTACCTTTCCGGAGTTGAAGGGCCTTAGAGTTGTGCACACATGGACGCATGTCTCGTCTGAGCCCTAAACCCTAAACCCTAAACCCTAAACCCTAAACCGCCTCTGTTCGAAGTCCAAGGCTGCAGGGAGCTGTTGGAATCTTGAGGGGGGGGGGGGACCTGTGTGAGAACAGCCACCTGACGTTGCCGCAACCGATACACTGAACCTGAAGGCCGGACCCCTACCTAAACCCCTAAAAGTAGGTAAAATAATAGCCCATGACCTGTAAAAAGCTATTATTTTACATATCTTTGGGGTCTAGGTAAACCCAAAAAGCCCCTAACCGCGATTAAGGTTTAGTTTAGGCTTCCATGAGGACCGACCCTGCTCTACCCGCCAATCCTGTACTCCACACGCCTTGAAAGCCCAAGCCCCAAAAATCCTGCACCCTAAATCCCAAGTCCAGTGCAACTTTAAGGCTCCGAATAGCATGATCTTTGGGCCGCGAGGTATGGACACACGAGTCGTAAGAGCTTACAGTGGATAGGCTTCCAATATTGGAATGTAACCGCCCCTACACCCTAAACGCCCTAAACATTAGACCCTAAACCCTAAACCGAGATGCTAAGAGACACATCGCGATGGAGGAGACACGGACAAGTGATTCTGATGAAGATGCGCATCATTCGATGCAGTGGGCCACTGACACCGAGGATTTGCATCCCGCCTGTGCTAGTCGAAAGAGCTGTGTTTCAGCGGGGTCCTTCTCTCAAACTCTCAACCCTAAAGCCCTAAACCCTACACCCCTAAACCCTAAGGGAACCGGAACCCTAAGCCCGATTCAAGCAGGGGCTCGCAGAAGTAAGGGTCCGGATTTCACCGATATACTCGTAACAAGGATCCGACTGTTTAGGGCCAGAATTGAAAGCCAAGCCCTAAGCCCTAACCTTAAATCCTCATCCCTAGAAGACCCGAAAGCTTGAAGGTACATGACTTCCACATTAAGGGTTTAGGGTTTAGGGTTGAGAAGCCTGAAGGTACATGGCTTCCATCGAGTATGGGGAGGACATGGGCATCACGAAGAATTCAGAGCTGCGCGGGAAGGAGGCCATCCCTACACTTTAAGACCCTATAGGCTTCATAACAACCTAAATCCTAAAGCCTACACCCCAAACCCTGGACCCTTCATGGGAGTTTCAGGAAATAGTAAGGGACCATTGGTTCAGTTTAGCCAAGCCCTATAAGAGATTATGGATGTTCAGATAATCTGTTGAAAAGACTTCGGCTTCCAGGTTGCTGACTGAAAGTTCAGCTAGCATTGGTTATCATCCCTCCGTATGCACAGCAAGAGGCAGTCACCCCACTGCTGATTTGCTGCGCCCTACATTTCTGCATGTGACACGTATAAACAAAGAGCACATGTAACCCCAAACCCTAAACCAGGAAAGGCGTCTCCTGATGAATCTCAGAAACCTGCCAGGTCTTGCAGCATATGGGCCTGAGCGCCGTGCAGGGCGAGGCGAAGGCAACGAAGGCGAATTACTACCAGCTCTTCAGCTTCAAGAACCCAGGAATCTCGGTTGCCTCAAAGAGTTGTTGTGACCATTATGATTATTGTGTTGATTGTCACTGTTGTTGTTGCTGTTGTTATATCGTTGGGCATTTTAGGGTAACCACAAATAAAAACCTTGAATCCAGCAAGCATATCTTTTTAATACGTAGGAAGCCACTCTGCTACAGCTATGGTTCAGTGCTTGAAGGACGAACCATCTCCTTGTCTAGTCTGCTATAAACAGTTCGGCCAATCCGAGAACCAGACGTCCGAATAGACATGCCGTACCCTCGGGAACTTTGTAACTTTGGCTCATGCGTAAGACAAGTATACTTGTAACCATACTTCTGACACCATTCAATAATCAAGGTGCATAGAACTTGCTTGTCGACTCACACGATCCTGTACTTAGGGGCTGAGTAGATAATCTTTTCATCTACGGGGCCTTATATAATCCTACTAGAATTGAAAAGGTTGGGCCGTTTTGGGCTAGGAAACCCTAGACCCTAAACCCTAAACCCTAAACCCTAAACCTAGGGTACTTAGGGTACTCAACCCCTAAGTGTAAGTAGGCTGCAGAGAACAGCCAAGGTATTGTCAGCTTCGACATCCAGGGACTCCTAGAGGAGTGGACAGGGAGGGAAAGGGAAGGGGAAGGCGGTTTAGGCACGATTTAGAGTTTAGGGTTTGGGGTTTAGGGTTGAGGGTTTAGGGTTTAGCGTTTGGGGTTTAGGGCTTAGGGTTTGTAGGACTAAAGCTTTAGGTTATCTTGTTTATAGTGCCTTCAGGAGTGCTTAAAATGGGGGTTTCAGAAAATAGGGGACCCTAATATAGTACCCTAAATAGTAGGATCCTTATTATAAGGACCCCCAAAATAGGATACCCGAATTTTCGGAAACCCCCAGATGCTGCATGAGGACAACGACTTGGATCTGGGGGTGAAGATCGAGTTTGGACCCTTCGGGACGCCGACAAAGAGGATCCTTAGATAGCCAATGGGAGAACTTTAAACTTTTTGGCTTTATATATTAAGTCTATCCTCAACCCTAAACCCTAAACCCTAAAACCTACACCCTAAACCCTAAACCCTAAACCGCCTACAAAGAGGATCCGGCTGGTGAACGTCGTGGAGCAGTTCCAGATCGTCCTTGCGGCCATGCCTTTCGTGTCCGAAAGCAGCGGTTTGCCTCAACCAGCCCTGGGTGTTTATAATACAGGTGCCTGAATAACCCTAAACCCTAAACCCCTGATACTATTACTCAGCTGCGTATAGCTATAGTGAGTATGCCAGGGCATACACGTATGCAGGGTCTAAGTTGACAAAAGCAGCAAAATTTGGTTGGTTCAGGACTCGAACAAATGCACTGGGCATTGACAGCGTTTGGTAGTGTTTCAGTCTGTGATTCCAACACCCGGTGGTTTGTAAGTGGTCCTTATATGCTCAGGGTGTAGGTCAGGGTTTAGGCTTTAGGCTGTATGACTAGTATAAGGATTGTACTGCAGTTGTCTTCCCTACGAACTCATGTTCTTCAGTCTTACCGAGTCTTACCCGTACTTGCTAGGTCCTCTGATCCTCTCAGGACATCGTGACCCCGCACCATTCGGTAGAAGAGCTGCCCTCATCCATCACGCCGGACAAGAAAGCCCTGCAACAGAATCCAGCAACTGCCGAGCAGACATACATGGTGAGACAGGGTATCGATTTTATTTGTTGAGTGAACATGGGACACCAGCGAAGCCCTCGTTCAACTCCGTGCTTTGACCCCTGCCAACCTGTGGTCACATAGTATCCAAGTATCTCCTTCTCTGAAACCCTCAGTCGTAACCCAAGTTAGTAAGCTCTCCGATCCATGTGTAGCCAGACCTTCCAATATCCCTCAACTCAGGAATAATATACCTTAAACCATATCAGGCTCAGGGATCCTACTATAATTTTGGGTATATTCCTTGATTGAGGGATATAGAAGGTCTGGGTAAGCCCGAGTCGAGTCTGCCCGAGGCAAAAGAAAAGCCCTGGACGCCTTGCGCGACTTCGGGAAGAAAGATGTCAGCTCGGTGGTCAGCAAGGCTCTTCGTCTGATCTAGGGTTTAGGGATTAGGGTTCAGGGTTTAGGGTTTAGGAATCAGGGAACAGGAATGATTATAGGGTTTAGGGATTAGGGCTTCGGGTTCAGGGTTTAGGGTTTAGGAAACAGGGAATAGGAATGATTATAGGGTTTAGGGATTCGGGCTTAGGGTTCAGGGTTTAGGGTTGGGATCAGGAAATAGGAATGATTACGGTTCAGGGATTAGGGCTTAGGGTTCAGGGTTTAGGGTTTAGGGCCTAAGGGAATAGGAATGATTAGGGTTTAGGGATCAGGGAATGGGAATGATTAGGGTTTAGGGATTAGGGCTTAGGGGTCAGGGTTTACGGATCAGGGACTAGGAATGATTAGGGTTTAGGGTTTAGGGAATAGGGTTCAGGGTTTAGGGTTTAGGGATCAGGGAATAGGAATGATTAGGGTTTAGGGATTAGGGCTTAGGGTTCAGGGTTTAGGGTTTAGGGATCAGGGAATGGGAATGATTAAGGCTTAGGGATTAGAGCTTAGGGTTCTACCTGTGGTACGGAATCTGCAGTTGGAAAAAGGAGCTCAAAAAAAAGAGCTTAGGGTTCAGGGTTTAGGGTTTAGGGATCAGGGAATAGCCATGATTAGGGTTTAGAGATTAGGGCTTAGGGTTCAGGGTTTAGGGTTTAGGGATCAGGGAATAGGAATGATTAGGGTTTAGGGATTAGGGCTTAGGGTTCAGGGTTTAGGGTTTAGGGATCAGGGAATAGGAATGATTATGGTTGAGGGATTAGGGCTTCGGGTTCAGCATTTATGGCTTAGGAATCAGGGAATAGGAATGATTGTAGGGTTTAGGGATTAGGACTTAGGGTTCCGTTTTTAGGGTTTAGGGATCAGGGAATAGGAATGATTCGGGTTTAGGGATTAGGTCGTCGGGTTCAGGGTTTAGGGTTTAGGGATCAGGGAATAGGAATGATTAGGGTTTAGGGATTAGGGCTTAGGGTTTAGGGTTTAGGGTTTAGTGGTCAGGGAATAGGAATGGTCAGGGTTTAGGGATTAGGGCTTAGCGTTCAGGGTTTAGGGTTTAGGGATCAGGGAATAGGAATGATTAGGGTTTAGGGCTCAGGGTTTAGGGATCAGGGAATGGGAATGATTACGGTTGAGGGATTCGGGCTTAGGGTTCAGGGTTTAGGGTTTAGGCATCAGGGAATAGGAATGATTAGGGCTTAGGGTTCAGGGTTTAGGGTTTAGGGGTCAGGGAATGGGAATGATTAGGGTTTGGGGATGAGGGCTTAGGGCTTAGGGTTTAGGGTTTAGGGATCAGGGAATAGGAATGATTAGGGTTTAGGGATTAGGGCTTAGGGTTCAGGGTTTAGGGCTTAGGGATCAGGGAATAGGAATGATTAGGGCTTAGGGATTAGGGCTTAGGGTTCAGGGTTTAGGGTTTAGGGATCAGCGAATAGGAATGTTTAGGGTTTAGGGATTAGGGCGTCGGGTTCATGGTTTAGGGTTTACGGATCAGGGAATAGGAATGATTAAGGCTTTGGGATTAGAGCTTAGGGTTCAGGGTTTAGGGTTTAGGGTCAGGGAATAGGAATGATTAGGCTTTAGGGATTAGGGCTTTGGGATTAGGGCTTAGCGTTCAGGGTTTAGGGATCAGGGAATAGGAATGGTTAGGGTTTAGGGATTAGGGCTTAGGGTTCAGGGTTCAGGGTTTAGGGATCAGGGAATAGCCATGATTAGGGTTTAGAGATTAGGGCTTAGGGTTCAGGGTTTAGGGTTTAGGGATCAGGAAATGGGAATGAT